TGACCTGTACAATCACCCATTCGGTCATTGACGTCCCACTCTGCAGGTCACAACAACACAAAAGACAAAGATCCCCCGTGTAGCCTGTAACAGACTGTTGGGGCAAGCGCTGTTAGCGAGCACCTATGAAGGCCGGCACGGCACACGAGGGGGTGGGTGGCAAGCACCACGCCCGGCCGCCTTTGTCTCTCCCTAGTGGCGATCTTTACACACTGCACCGGGGTACTCATTTGAGGCTGAGTTGACATAGGGGAGGGCCAGGGACCGGTTCAGATAATCGTCACCGGTGTTGGCCGTGAGCGGGAATCAAACTCGGGTCGCCGTGTTCGCAGTGCAGCGCGTTAACCGCGACACCACAACAACAACCGCCATTCGCCACTAAGTGGCGGTGACGTCACCACGACGCTTGTGCCAGGCTATGTGCACCTTGAGGCCACGTGGAAGTGTCGAACGCCCGCTGGCAGCAGGATTTCACGGGGCAGACCCAGCAGGTGGCACGGGTCGACTGACTGAGATGACTGGCTGATGCACCACCTGTGCCTTCAGTGGGGCCGTCTGGTCGGGCAGCAGAGACACGAGAGGCCAAGAAACGACATTCCAGTCGTGGGCTGAGCTCAAGGAGGGCTAGCTTGAGCACCATCCTGTGGCGGGGAAAGGAGGCGGTGCAAGCGGTTCAGCCGAGCCCACAACAGCCAAAAATCTGCTGTCCCTGTCTGGGGTGGGGGGGGCTGTACAACCCTAGCACGTGGGCGAGAAGCCGTGCATGTGTGACGAGTGCGGCCGACAAGTATATATATTTTTTTCTTTTCCGCTTGTGTGTTAATATGTGTTTACCCCGGATATTTAAGAGATGGCAATTCTCCTGCTGTGTATCCTGCTGTCCCTCCCGGCCATATCTAGTGCCACACTCAACTCTACAAACAGCTACCCTCGTTACTTTGCATCCATACTTGTTGCTCGATTTGCCACCACACCTGCTAATGAAACAGCTCATAGACACTTCTACACTCCATCATTGTATCCTTTTAAACCCTATCTTTGTCCCATTACTTCACCATCACTCCTTCCAAACTTAATTCTGCTCTTAAAAATAGCACCATCTGCGAGCTACTGCTATTCGTCCAAGGTTCGTCGCTCTTCATCCTTTCACAGAAAATACTTGTGCAAACTATTAATTCTACTTTTCTTATTTCTGGGTGGTATTGAGCTTCATCCTGGCCCAAATGAAAAGAACTCGTATAATTCTGTAGATTTTTCTGGCAGGAAAGGTGTTGGTGTACTACATGTCAACATCAGAGGGCTTGTGATTAAATTAAGTCAACTAAAACTAGAAGTGGCAAATCTTGACTCGGACATTTTTTGCCTAACAGAAACATTTCTCACTCCTGCCGTCAATGACTTGCAGATTGCGATTGACAACTACAACCTTTTTCGGCTTGACCGAGGATCTGAAGGAGGTGGAATTGCCATCTATGTTCGTAATACTATTGCATGTTCACTAGCTCACTCCTTGTTTAAAAAATGTTGCTTTTAAGGTCTGGCTCTCAAAATAACTCTCCCAAATAATCAACAGATATTCGTAGTATGCTGCTATTGACCGCCTAGTGGGAAGGATGTTGAAGCTGCATCTGCACTGAGATAACTTTGTGGGGGCCTCCCTAAAGGTGAAATAGTTTTAGTGGGTGATCTAAATTGGAATTGGCTAAACCCCCCGGCTGTGGCCACAAATTTTGCAGATGAATTTAATCTGTTTCAATTAATAAATGTCCCCACAAGACCCAACCTAAAAAATCCGGGACTGTCATCTCTACTTGACGTCCTATTGACAAATGCCCCTCACAATTTCATACTGACTGGTGTTCTGGGTAATAACCTTAGTGATCACTCCTTCATTTTTTGGGTGAGATCATCAGCCAGACCCAAAGCCCCCCCTAAATTGGTTGAGAAGCACTCTATGAGACACTTCAGCACTCAGGCATTTACTAATGATGTGCTTCACTCGGATATTGACAAGGTCTGTGATATCCCCAACCTGACTACGGCTTGGGAGACCTTCAGGTACACGTTTCTCCAAATTCTTAACAACATGCTCCGTTGGTTAGATTTAAAACTAAAGGCAACCGCCCACCATGGTTTGATCCTTTGATTACAAAGCTCATGAAAACTAGGGACAAGGCTTGGGCATGTGCTCAGAAAAGTAATTTGGTCAATGACTGGCTAGAATACAGGATTTTAAGGAATAGATCCGTCAAAAAAATACGGCATGCAAAAAAATGCCTACTTTTCCTCCATTCTCCTGGAATCAGATGGAAATGCCAGGATTTTCTGGAAAACAATCAAATGTATCGAAAAGGCATCCAAAACAGACAATCTGCCCATTGAGCTTAACTGAAATGGGGAATATTTTTCAGATCCCAAAAAAATAGTTGACAATTTTAACCTTCATTTTTCTGAAGTTGGCAATCTTTTTGATAATGTATTGGGAGTCACCGCTGCTCATGCAAACTCCTACACCCCTGTCCAACATTAAACAAATTTAGTTTCCAGCCAATCCACGAAAGTGATGTTCTGAAACAACTGCCCTACCTCAAAGGGTCCTCCTCTACCGGAGTAGATAGTATTCCCGTCTTTGCTCTACTAACTGTTGGTCACCTAATATACAAACCTATAGCCCATATTTTCAACCTGTCCATCAAAGAAGCATCAATTCCTCTAGAATGGAAACATTCCTATGTCCGTCCACTTCATAAAGGGGGCCCTAAAGATGATCCAAATAACTACCGACCTATCTCAATTTTGTCCCCGTTGATGAAAATTTCAGAAAAATTATTGACCTACAAAATTAGCAGTTTCCTGTCCACCAACAATCTACTACATCTAAAACAATCTGGGTTCTGAAAAAAATACAGCACCACATCTGCTGCATTAGACTCTCTGAATCAAATTTACAGTAGCCTTGATAATAAGCAGTACTGTGCCTGTCTTTTTCTAGGCCTGTCCAAAGCTTTTGATACAGTAGACCACAACACCCTACTTAGTAAACTAAGTTGCCTCGGTTTTTCCGAAAACGCAGTAAAATGGTTACAAAATTACCTGTTTTCTCGCACCCAAACTGTATTCACAGATGGTTGGAGGTCAAACAGTGTTAAGATAACAAAATGGGTTCCACAGGGTTCCATCCTCGGCCCCCTTTTGTTCTCTCTTTATGTCAATAACTTGGGCACTGACCTGGATCATTCCAGGGTAATTTTTTTAGCAGATGACACGATACTGATTACTGCTGGCCGCTCTCTGGATGACGATGATTGCTAAGCTACAGGGTGATTTTAACAAACTACAACATCAGCTAGTTGCTCTTAAACTAGTCCTGAATACCTCCAAAACCAAGGTGCTATGCTTCTCACCAGGACTAAATCAGGAAGTTATTTTTCCCCAATTACATTCCTTAAATAATTATCAAATCGAGCAAGTCAAGATCTATAAGTATCTTGGGGTCATCCTGGATTCAAAACTGAATTTTGAAGATCACATTGATTATATTGGTAAAAAGACAAAAGTAAAAATTGGTTTTCTGTATCGACATAAGCACTGCTTCCCCCCAATGTTCCGTTTGGAATTGATAAAAGCTACCATACTGCCTCTACTTGACTACTGTGACATCGTGTATAAATCAGCCCCAAGTACTTTACTGAAGAAGTTTGATTCCATCTATCACTCGGCCTTAAGATTTACATTGAACTGCCCATATAGGACTGTGATATCTACATTGGGTCAAACTTAACATCTCTTAATGTTCGACGGCTTGTGCACCAGATATTATTTATTCACGATGTACTTACAAAAAAATCCGCAGACTACTTGCTGGATGTCCTCTCTGTTTCAAAGAACAAATTCGACCTCAGGTCTTGGCTCATTTACCAGCTTCACATTCCCTATTGCTGTACAAAACCTGGAGGAAGGGCCTTTGCTATTGATGCCCCCAGGGTCTGGAATGATATTGCCAATAAACTGCAACTTGAATCACTACCTATGAGATCTTCACTCAAAACTGCTCTAGAGGAGTTGTACAACCCTAGCTGCCACTGCTGTTCATTGGCGTAAAATAAAATAAAATGTTTTCGCTCCGGATGACGCTGCAAAGTATTATCTGTATTTTGATTTAGCGTGCTGATCTCAAAGCTGTATTGAAAAATTTGATACTCCGACTGATGCTTCTGTTGTTGTGGAGTAACTCATGCAGCCAGCTATGGCTCTAGGATTTGGTGTTACATGTTATTTATGTAGTTTATTGTAAAAAGTCGGTCACAGTCCCTGTGATCACTGTTACGTTGCAATTATGGCTTTATTTTTTTGGTGATTTCGAAAACGTTTTTTGGTTTGGACATGTTTGTTTTGTTGTAGTACGGAGTTAGACTGATGGCCTTAATCTAAGTTGTCTTGTGGTTGTTGTTGTTGTTGTTTGACTTGCATCTCACTGGGATTTTTGCACACAGCGTTGGTGTACAGTGCTTTTTTCAGGAATATTTTGCTGTTTTTTTCATGGATTTTCTGTTTAAAATGTTTTTCTTGTTCGTATTTTTGTTTTTTTTGTTTGTTTTGGTTGCACCCGATTCAAGAGCCGAATGGCTCACAGGGCTATACCAAAATAAATAAACTGAAACTGTGCTTTAGTCACCCGGCGCTCCGCTCGTTGTTGTGAGCGTCGCTCCTCCGCCCTCCGTTGTTGTTGGAGGCCGACTGACTCCAACTTGCCCAGTAGCAGCGTCCTTCACGAGCCTCCTCCACAGAGGCCGATCTTGACATCACTGGTACCGGTCACACATCCACACCCGCTCACCACACTGCATGCCACCTCGCTTCTCTTTCACCATCTTCCCCTCTCACTCCTCCAGCACAAGAGTGCTGTTTGTTGCTGCTCGTTGTCGTGGTGGGGCGGGGGCGTGGCGGGGGCGTGGCGGGGAGTGCCACGTGATTTAGAGGCGGCACTTGCAGGGGCTGCGCCCGCGTGGCCGCTCGTGACGCGAACCAATGGGAGGAGGGGACGGCGCCGATGCGCGCTGGGAAATCCAAAGCGAGGCTCCCTTCGTGAGCCGCGCGTTACAAGGTTATCCCTCTAACTCTCTCTCTCCTGTGTAGTTACCCCTCTAACTCTCTAACTCTCTCTCCTGTGTAGTTACCTCACAAACTCTCTCTCTTCTGTGTATTTACCTCACTAACTCCTGTGTAGTTACCCCTCTAACTCTCTCTCCTGTGTAGTTATCCCTCTCCTGTGTAGTTACCCCTCTAACTCTCTAACTCTCTCTCTCTCCTGTGTAGTTACCTCACTAACTCTCTCTCTCCTGTGTAGTTACCTCACTAACTCCTGTGTAGTTACCCCTCTAACTCTCTCTCCTGTGTAGTTATCCCTCTAACTCTCTCTCTCCTGTGTAGTTACCTCACTAACTCTCTAACTCTCTCTCTCCTGTGTAGTTACCTCACTAACTCCTGTGTAGTTACCCCTCTAACACTCTCCTGTGTAGTTACCTCACTAACTCTCTCTCTCCTGTGTAGTTACCTCACTAACTCCTGTGTAGTTACCCCTCTAACTCTCTCTCTCTCCTGTGTAGTTACCCCTCTAACTCTCTCTCCTGTGTAGTTACCCCACCACCCCTGGTGGAGTTACCCCGAGCGAGTTGGAGGAATCGCGGCTCGCCGCTGCCATGGGGTCGACTCGGCACGTGGCGGTGGCGGTGTCGGGAGGGGTGGACAGCGCCGTAGCGGCCTTGCTCATGAAGAGACGCGGTGAGAGCCTTGACCGGCGTGGTGAAGTATGGTCACTGAGTCGCTGTGAGCCTTAACCGGCGTGGTGAAGTATGGTCACCGAGTCTCTGTGAGTCTTGACCGGCGTGGTGAAGTATGGTCACCGAGTCTCTGTGAGTCTTGACCGGCGTGGTGAAGTATGGTCACCGAGTCTCTGTGAGTCTTGACCGGCGTGGTGAAGGTTGGTCACCGAGTCGCTGTGAGTCTTGACCGGCGTGGTGAAGTATGGTCACTGAGTCGCTGTGAGTCTTGACCGGCGTGGTGAAGTATGGTCACTGAGTCTCTGTGAGCCTTGACCGGCTTGGTGAAGTATGTCACTGAGTCGCTGTGAGCCTTGACCGGCGTGGTGAAGTATGGTCACCGAGTCTCTGTGAGTCTTGACCGGCGTGGTGAAGTATGGTCACTGAGTCGCTGTGAGCCTTGACCGGCGTGGTGAAGTATGGTCACCGAGTCTCTGTGAGTCTTGACTGGCGTGGTGAAGGTTGGTCACTGAGTCGCTGTGAGTCTTGACCGGCGTGGTGAAGTATGGTCACTGAGTCGCTGTGAGTCTTGACCGGCGTGGTGAAGTATGGTCACTGAGTCTCTGTGAGCCTTGACCGGCTTGGTGAAGTATGGTCACTGAGTCGCTGTGAGCCTTGACCGGCGTGGTGAAGTATGGTCACCGAGTCTCTGTGAGTCTTGACCGGCGTGGTGAAGTATGGTCACTGAGTCGCTGTGAGTCTTGACCGGCGTGGTGAAGTATGGTCACTGAGTCTCTGTGAGTCTTGACCGGCGTGGTGAAGTATGGTCACTGAGTCGCTGTGGGCCTTGACCGGCGTGGTGAAGTATGGTCACTGAGTCGCTGTGAGCCTTGACCAGCGTGGTGAAGTATGGTCACTGAGTCGCTGTGAGCCTTGACCGGCGTGGTGAAGTATGGTCACAAGAGTCGCCCTCTCTGTGAGCCGTGCCTTGACCGGCCTTCAGAGGTGGTGCTCGCTAACAGCACTTGCCCCAACAGTCTGTTAAGGCTACACAGGGGGGGGGGCGTATCTTTGTCTTTGGTGTCAATATGAAGAGTTGTGCACAGATACAGTCCTGTTGGCACCCACTCACAACAACTGTGTACATACTCGTGAAAAACAACAGCACTGCGTTGTGTCCCGACGAGGCAAACGGGCGACGTTTCGAGCAATGGCCCTTCTTGAACGTGGGGAGGCAGAGTGTCCGACGAGTGAGGGAGACTGCACCCCGTTTACTGCCCTGGGGTGGGGGTGGGGTGGTGACCCCCGATGAGAGTTACATAAAAAAAACACCTGTTCCCCGTGTTCCAGGTCACCGCGTGACCGGGGCGTTCCCTGTTCCTCGTGTTCCAGGTCACCACGTGACCGGGGCGTTCCCTGTCCCCGTGTTCCAGGTCATCGCGTGACCGGGGCGTTCCCTGTCCCCGTGTTCCAGGTCACCGCGTGACCGGGGTGTTCATGAGGAACTGGGACCGGGCGGACGAGGTGGCGGCTGGGCCCTGCTCCGGGGACCGTGACCGTGACGACGCGCGCCGCGTGTGCGACCAGCTCGACGTGCCGTTCCGGGAGGTCAGCTTCGTCAAGGAGTACTGGCACGATGTGTTCAGGTGGGACCCGCAACCACAACCATCGTCACCGCTGTCACCGCCACCGTCACAGCCACCGTCACAGCCACCGCCGCTGTCACCGCCACCGTCAGGGCCACCGCCACTGCCGTCACCGCCACCGTCACAGCCATCGCTACCGTCACCGCCGCTGTCACCGCCACCGTCACGGCCACCGCCGCCTCTGTCACCGTCGACGCCACCGCTGTCACCGCTGTCACCGCTGTCACCGTCACCGCCGCCACCGCAAAAACCGCACCAACGCGCAACGACCGTCCGCTCGTAGGCACCGTGATTACAGCCACAGCTACCAAGCAAGGTCACCGCCACGACCGCCGTCACAATCACCCCCCACCCCAGAGACAAACACCACAACGACCGCCAACGCCACGACCACCACCGCAGCTACAACCGCCAACGGCAGCAATTTGCCGCAACCGTGATGCCAGTCGATGATGTTAAGGACGAGGGCGATGACGGCGGTTGAGAATGCTGATGCGCATGAAGACGGCGGTGGTGATGATGGCGAATGACTGCGATGATCGTAGCGATGGCAGTGATGATGACTGCGATGGTGATCGCCATGATGATAAATGAATGACGGTGACGGCGATGATGGCTCGTGTGGTGTGTGCGGTGTGTGTGGTGTGTGCGGCTCGTGCGGTGTGTGTGGTGTGTGCGGTGTGTGTGGTGTGTGCGGTGTGTGTGGTGTGTGTGGCTTGTACGGTGTGTGCGGTGTGTGCAGTGTGTGTGGTGTGTATGGTGTGTGTGTTGTGTGCGGTGTGTATGGCTCATGCGGTGTGTGCGGTGGCATGCCAGTGCGATGCTGAGAGGCTACGAGGGAGGAAGGACCCCCAACCCAGACATCCTGTGCAACCGGCACATCAAGTTCCACCACCTGCTGCAGTTCGCAATGGAGCGACTCGGTAAGATCATCCACCACCACGACCACCACGACCACCACGACCACCATCTCCTCCACCACGACCACTATCTCCACTGCCACTACCACGACCTCCACCACCACCGCCACCACCACCAACCACCACCACCTCCTCCACCAACACCGCTACCTCCACTGCCACCGGCACGACCACCACCACCACATTATGAAAGTTGTATTTGTAAAGAGCTTAACACATTTTCTTGCATTGAGCAAAGTTATTAGGACAACTATCAACATGAAGAGCTTGGGAAGAGAGTCGATGGGAGGGGTCTCTAAGCGTGTAATGAAGGTGACAGGCAACGCCGCGTTGTTGCTGGGCTGGCTGCCGTGGAAGCGGTTGCTGTATCTGCCACGGTGTTTGTGGTGGTGGTTGTGGTGGTTGTGGTGGGGAGCGGTGGTGTAGCGGTTACCGTGCTGTGCTGTGAACCCGGCGACCCGAGTTCGATTCCCGCTCACGGCCAACACCCGGTGACGATTATCCGAACCGGTCCTGGGCCCTCCACTAGGTCCACTCCGCCTCAAATGAGTACCCGGTGCGGCGTGTTAACATCGCCACTGGGGAGACAAAGGCGGCCGGGCGTGGTGCTGGGCCACCCACCCCCTCGTGCGCCGTGCCGTCGTTCATAGGCGCTGCTCGCTGACGGCACTTGCCCCCAGCGCTCTGTTGAGCCTCCGCGGGGGATCTTTCGTTTGGTCGCGGTCGTGGACGAGCGATGCAGGCGCGGACGCGGTGGCGACGGGCCACTACGCGCGCACCTCGCTGGAGGAGGAGGCGGTGCTGGGGCAGACGTACGGCGCCGGCGGGGACCCGCCACGCGGTGAGCGCTCGCTCTCCAACCTCCACCCCCGACACGGGTCGCTGCGCCACCGCTCTCTCAGCCCACAACAACAACGACAGCAGCAGCAGCCGCCATTCGCCACTAAGTGGCGGTGACGTCACCACGGCGCTTGAGGCCGTGGCCTGGCACAAGCGCCGTCAGCCCACGCACGCTGACGGACGGGCACGTGGACGGCAACACCCTGCTGTTGTGTCTCTCCCCTCCCCGTGTCTCTCTGTCCCCAACCCGTGCCTCGCTCCTTTCCGTGTCTCTCCCCTCCCCGTGTCTCTCTTCTCCCCGTGTCTCTCTCCTCCCATATCTGACTCCTCCCCGTGTCTCTCTCCTCCCCGTGTCTCTCTCCTCCCCTTGTCTCTCTCCTCCCCGTGTCTCTCCCCTCCCCGTGTCTCTCCCCTCCCCGTGTCTCTCCCCTCCCCGTGTCTCTCCCCTCCCCGTGTCTCTCTCCTCCCCGTGTCTCTCTCCTCCCCTTGTCTCTCATACCCGTGTCTCTCTCCTCCCCGTGTCTCCTCCCCGTGTCTCTCTCCTCCCCGTGTCTCTCCCCTCCCCGTGCACCTCTGCCCACTTAGGTGTGCGGTTGCTCGTCTCCGCGGACCCCGTGAAAGACCAGACGTTCTTCCTCAGCCAGGTGCCGGCGCGCGCCCTGCGCCACGCACTCTTCCCCGTGGGCGGCCTGCCCAAGGCCGTCGTCAGGCGAGTGGCCGCCCAGGCCGGCCTCAACCACGTGCTGCAGCGCAGAGAGGTGCGGGCCGCCCGCCACGGCCGGGGATGGAACTCGGCACGCCGGTTTCGAGGGTTGAGCCGTCGGGGCGGCGTGCTGCCGGCCGCATCGCTTTGACGGGGGGGGCGATCCGCGTGGGGGGGGGGGGGTGATCCGCGTGGTGGGGGGGGGGGGTGATCCACGTGGGGGGTGATCCGCGTGGGGGGGGGGGTGATCCGCGTGGGGGGGGGGGTGATCCGCTAGGCTGCGGCGCGATCACCGTGCAGGAGAAATCTGAGATTGCCTCTCACCGTCTCCGTCCGCAGAGTGTCGGGATGTGCTTCATCGGGAAGAGGAAGTTTGAGAACTTCCTGCTGGAGGTGAGCGGAGCGCAGCCGGGACTGGTCGCCTCTCTCTCTGAGTCGTCCTCTCTCTCTCTGAGTCGTCCTCTCTCTATCTGAGTCGCCCTCTCTCTCTCTGAGTCGTCCTCTCTCTGAGTCGTCCTCTCTCTATCTGAGTCGTCCTCTCTCTCTCTGAGTCGTCCTCTCTCTGAGTCGTCCTCTCTCTATCTGAGTCGTCCTCTATCTGAGTCGCCCTCTCTCTAGCTGAGTCCTCTCTCTATCTGAGTCACCCTCTCTCTAGCTGAGTCGTCCTCTCTCTAGCTGAGTCGTCCTCTCTCTCTCTCTGAGTCGTCCTCTCTCTCTAGCAGAGTCGTTCTCTCTCTCTAGCAGAGTCGTCTCTACGAGAGCGATGAGTGGATACCGTGCGGCAGCGCGTTCTAAGTTGAGGATGCTGATGAAGGAGAATGTTGATGATGATAAGGAGAATGTTGATGATGATGATGAGAGGAGGATGATGTTGATGATGATGAGAGGAAGAGGAGGAGGAGGGGGTACGTGGGTGTTGATGGCACTGTGCGTTCCCGTTGGTGCCAGTACCTGGAGCCCCGTCCCGGGAACTTTGTGTCGATGGAGGACGGTCGCATCTTGGGGCAACACAAAGGTGCACGGAGCCACGCTGGCAACAGCAGCGCGGACACAGCGCACACAAAATACAGACAGCACGCACACACAATACAGACAGCACGTACACACAATACAGACAGCACGTACACAATACAGACAGCATGTACACACAATACAGACACAGCACGTACACAAAATACAGACACAGCACGTACACACAATACAGACAGCACGTACACGCAATACAGACAGCACGTACACACAATACAGACAGCACGTACACACAATACAGACAGCACGTACACACAATACATACAGCACGTACACACAATACAGACACAGCACGTACACACAATACAGACAGCACGTACACACAATACAGAGACAGCACGTACACACAATACAGACAGCATGTACACGCAATACAGACAGCATGTACACACAATACAGACACAGCACGTACACACAATACAGACAGCACGTACACACAATACAGACACAGCATGTACACACAATACAGACAGCACGTACACACAATACAGACACAGCACGTACACACAATACATACAGCACGTACACACAATACAGACACAGCACGTACACACAATACATACAGCACGTACACACAATACAGACACAGCACGTACACACAATACAGACAGCACGTACACACAATACAGACAGCACGTACACACAATACAGACAGCACGTACACACAATACAGACAGCACGTACACACAATACAGACAGCACATACACAATACAGACAGCACGTACACACAATACAGACAGCACGTACACACAATACAGACAGCACGTACACACAATACAGACAGCACGTACACACAATACAGACAGCACGTACACACAATACATACAGCACGTACACACAATACATACAGCACGTACACACAATACAGACACAGCACGTACACACAATACAGACAGCACGTACACACAATACAGAGACAGCACGTACACACAATACAGACAGCATGTACACGCAATACAGACAGCACGTACACACAATACAGACACAGCACGTACACACAATACAGACAGCACGTACACACAATACAGACAGCACGTACACACAATACAGACAGCACGTACACAATACAGACAGCACGTACACACAATACAGACAGCACGTACACACAATACAGACAGCACGTACACGCAATACAGACAGCACATACACACAATACAGACACAGCACGTACACACAATACAGACAGCACGTACACACAATACAGACACAGCATGTACACACAATACAGACAGCACGTACACACAATACAGACACAGCACGTACACACAATACATACAGCACGTACACACAATACATACAGCACGTACACACAATACAGACACAGCACGTACACACAATACAGACAGCACGTACACACAATACAGACAGCACGTACACACAATACAGACAGCACGTACACACAATACATACAGCACGTACACACAATACAGACACAGCACGTACACACAATACAGACAGCACGTACACACAATACAGAGACAGCACGTACACACAATACAGACAGCATGTACACGCAATACAGACAGCACGTACACACAATACAGACACAGCACGTACACACAATACAGACAGCACGTACACACAATACAGACACAGCATGTACACACAATACAGACAGCACGTACACACAATACAGACAGCACGTACACAATACAGACAGCACGTACACACAATACAGACAGCACGTACACACAATACAGACAGCATGTACACGCAATACAGACAGCACGTACACACAATACAGACACAGCACGTACACACAATACAGACAGCACGTACACACAATACAGACACAGCATGTACACACAATACAGACAGCACGTACACACAATACAGACACAGCACGTACACACAATACATACAGCACGTACACACAATACAGACACAGCACGTACACACAATACATACAGCACGTACACACAATACAGACACAGCACGTACACACAATACAGACAGCACGTACACACAATACAGACAGCACGTACACACAATACAGACAGCACGTACACACAATACAGACAGCACGTACACACAATACAGACAGCACGTACACACAATACAGACAGCACGTACACACAATACAGGCAGCACGTACACACAATACAGACAGCACGTACACACAATACAGACACAGCACGTACATAATACAGACACAGCACGTACATAATACAGACACAGCACGTACACACAATACAGACAGCACGTACACACAATACAGACAGCACGTACACACAATACAGACACAGCACGTACACACAATACAGACACAGCACGTACACACAATACAGACACAGCACGTACACACAATACAGACACAGCACGTACACACAATACAGACACAGCACGTACATAATACAGACACAGCACGTACATAATACAGACACAGCACGTACATAATACAGACACAGCACGTACACAATACAGACAGCACGTACACACAATACAGACACAGCACGTACATAGCTGTGTGTATGTGGACGTGTGTGTGTGTGTGGGGCTGTGTGTGTGTGGACGTGTGTGTGTGTGTGGGGCTGTGTGTATGTGGACGTGTGTGTGTGTGTGTGTGGGGCTGTGTGCGTGTGTGTGTGGGGCTGTGTGTGTGTGTGTGTGGGGCTGTGTGTGTGTGGGGCTGTGTGTGTGTGTGTGGGGCTGTGTGTGTGTGGACGTGTGTGTGTGTGGGGCTGTGTGTGTGTGTGTGTGGGGCTGTGTGTGTGTGTGTGGGGCTGTGTGTGTGTGTGGGGCTGTGTGTGTGTGGGGCTGTGTGTGTGTGTGTGGGGCTGTGTGTGTGTGGACGTGTGTGGGGCTGTGTGTATGTGGACGTGTGTGTGTGTGTGGGGCTGTGTGTGTGTGTGGACGTGTGTGTGTGTGGGGGGGGGGCCCTGCAGGTGCGTTCCTGCTGACGGTCGGGCAACGCGCGCGGATCGGGGGGCTGCGCTCGGCGTGGTTTGTGGTGGAGAAGAACGTCGACACGGGCGACGTGCTCGTGGTGAGTGACCTCGCCTCGCCGCACTCGCCTCGCTCGCCTCGTCACCCTCGCTGCGTCATCCTCACCGCACTGTCACCCTCACCTTGTCACCCTCACCTTGTCACCCTCACCTTGTCACCCTCACTGCACCTTGTCACCCTCACCTTGTCACCCTCACCTTGTCACCCTCACCTTGTCACCCTCACCGCACTGTCACCCTCACCGCACTGTCACCCACACCTTGTCATCCTCACCTTGTCACCCTCACCTTGTCACCTTGTCACCGTCACCGCGACACTCCCAGCACCCTCATGGCTGTCACTGCGGTTCTCCGTCCCTTCCCCAGGCTCCGTCCAATGACCACCCGGCACTGCAGCACAGCACCCTGAGCACAGGTACAAAGACAAAGATCCCCCGTGTAGCCTGAACAGACTGTTGGGGAAAGTGCCGTTAGCGAGCACCCGCAAAGCACACACACACACGCACCACACACACACACACACGTGGTAATGTCTGTGATGATAGGGACATTGAAGATATTGACGGTGATGATGATCAGAACAATAATGACGTTTATAACGCAGACAAGTCGATAACTCGAGACGCGCGGGGCAATGCTCAGGGCTGCTCGAAAGCCCTGAGCATTCGGACAGAGGGAGGCCTGGAGGCGTTTCTTAAAAGTCCGAGTGCATTCGATGTTGCGGATGTGCAGCGGGGGGGGATCATCGAGAGCTCCGCACCGAGGGGGCGGCACCAGGGAAACCCGACGCGAGGCTGTGACGGTTCGAGACCTCGGTGTGCAACGCGCATTTTCTGAGCGACGCCGCCGCCGCGTAGGGTCACTACGGCCGTGAGCCTTTCCGCTCGAGGCGAGAGTAGCGAGGCGAGGCGGTGGGGAGTCGGCGGAACAAGGCGCTTAGAGCAAGGCGAGCGATTTTTATAATTTGTCCCGCCGGGGAGAGGGGGAGCCGGTGAAGGGCGCGGAGGGTGGCGGCCGAGCGCCACGACGACGACGACTCGGGTAAAGAACGGCGCCGCCGCGGTCGAGGCGAGAGCGGACGATGCTGCCGCAGGCGCCGCCGCGGTCGAGGCGAGAGCGGACGATGCTGCCGCAGGCGCCGCGGCGGTCGACCGGGACGTGGTGGGCCCTAGAAGCAGGAGGGGTGAGGGCTGCGGGCGTCGACGATGCAGCCGACGTGAATGTCCGGAGACGAGGGCCGGAGACTCGGCGGAGTGACGGCAAAAAGATTTGACGCGGTCCGTGGTCGTCCGTAAGGGGAATGGTGGTGCCGGCAGTCGTGACGTTGCGGGGAAGAGGCGGGGCGGGGGGGTCACGTGAGCCGTTGTCGGGTGCCAATGATGACGGTAATGATGTTGATGGTGGCGATGGTGGTGTTGGTGGTGTTGGTGATGGAGGTGGTGGTGATGTTGGTGATGGCGGTAATGATGGTGGCGATGGTGGTGGGGATGGTTGTGATGTTAATGGGGGTCATGATGGTGGTGATGATGGTGGTGGTAATGTTGATGGTGGTGATGTTGATGTCGATGGTGGTGGTGATGTGATGATGATGATGGTGGTGGTGATGTTGATGGTGGTGGTGGTGGTGGTGATGATGATGGTGATGATGATGATGGTGATGTTGATGGTGATGTTCATGATGGTGATGTTGATGATGGTGATGTTGATGGTGATGTTGATGGTGGTGATGATGGTGGTGGTAATGTTGATGGTGGTGATGTTAATGTCGATGGTGGTGGTGATGTGATGATGATGATGATGGTGATGATGATGATGGTGATGATGGTGATGGTGGTGATGGTGGTGATGGTGATGTTGATGTTGATGGTGGTGATGATGGTGATAATGATGGTGATGTTGATGGTGATGTTGATGGTGGTGATGATGATGGTGGTGATGATGGTGGTGCAGGACGCGTCCACTGGATGTGGGGGGCGCCCCCCACGGAGCTGGTGAGGAGCGGGAGGATGGAGCTGCTCGCTCGGTTCCACCACCAGATGCCACTCAGTGAGAGACCACCATCACCACCATCACCACCATCACCACCATCACCACCATCACATCCATCACCACCATCACCACCATCACCACCAGATGCCACTCAGTGAGAGACCACCATCACCACCATCACCACCATCATCGTCACCATCACTACCATCACCACCATCACCACCACCATCACTACCATCACCACCATCACCACTATCACTACCATCACCACCATCACCACCATCACTTCCATCACCACCATCACTACCATCACCACCAGATGCCACTCAGTGAGAGACCACCATCACCACCATCACCACCATCACCACCATCACCACCATCACCACCATGACCACCATCACCATCACCACCATCACCACCACCATCACTACCATCACCACCAGATGCCACTCAGTGAGAGACCACCATCACCACCATCACCACCATCACCACCATCACCACCACCATCACATCCATCACCACCATCACCACCATCACTACCATCACCACCATCACCACCATCACCACCAGATGCCACTCAGTGAGAGACCACCATCACCACCATCACCACCATCACCGCCATCACCGCCACCATCGCCACCATCACTAACATCACTACCATCACCTCCATCACTACTATAACCATCATCACCACCATCGTCTACATCACTACCACCATCACCATCACCCCCATTACCCCCATCACAACCACCACCATCACTACCACCACCATCACTACCACCACCATCACTACCACCACCATCACCACCACCATCGCTGCCTCAGACCCGCGCGTTGTGGCTCCACCTCTGCAGGGCGCTGCTCCCTGACGCTCGAGCCGGACGGCTCCGCGTGGCTCGCGTTCGCCCAGCCAGTACGCGCCCCGCCGCTCGGACAGGTGACACACGCACAGACACACGCACGGACACACGCACGGACACACGCACGGACACACGCACGGACACACGCACGGACACACGCACGGACACGCGTGAACATGCACGGATACGCACGGACACGCACGGACACGCACAGACACGCACAGACACGCGGGAACACGCACGGAGACGCACGGACACGCGTGGACACGCGGGGATATGCAGGGATACGGGAGGACACAAGGGGACACGTGGAGACACCCGAAGACACGTGGGGACACGCAGTTATACATGGAGAGACAAGCGGTGACACGCGGAGACACCTGGGGGGACACCATGTAAACCCTTCACTTCAAAGGTGTTCTTAACGTTGGCCGTCTCGCTCCTCCTCTTCTCTGCCCTCCCCATGTCTCCCTCGTGTTCCTCCGTCTCACTGTCCCTATCCCCTTCTCTCTCCCTGTCTCCATGTCTCCCTATCCTCGTGTCCCCCTATCCCCATACCCCCGTCCTTACGTCCCCCATGTTTCCCTGTCCCCCTCTGTCCCCCATGTCCCCGTGTCCCCCTATCACGGCCCCCGTGTCCCTGCGTCCCCCTGTCCCCCCATAAACCCATTCCCCCGTGTCCCCCAGTTTGCCGTGTTCTACCATGGTGACGAGTGTCTGGGCAGCGGAGAGATTGTGCACGTGGGCCCCTCCGTCTATTCCTTGCGGCGGGGAGGGGGGGACCCCCCCCAGCACCGGGACCCCCCAAAACACTGGGACCCCTCCACGGACACCGACCCCACGCACGCACAAGCAGCCACCCTGCGCCTGGGAATCCCCTAGGCCCGCTCAGCCTGAAATGAGTTGACGGGAGGCCGTAATAGACGCGTGTCCGGCACCCGGAACCCAACTCCCCCCCCCCCCCCCCCGTCAACACCACAATCGAGACGTTTCCATCGCAAGGAATTTTTTTAAGTGAAATATTTTGTTTTAAAAATTGAAAAAGACGTGTATATAAAATGTACCAATAAAATCCGTTGCGCGAGTAACGATCCACCACCACCATCGGTTCCACGCCGACTCCTCCGATCGCGCTCAGTGGCGCAAACGCGCTTTGCCCCGACGCGCGTGGCGACACGCAGCGTGGACCGAGTCGCCCTCACGGGCGATCGCTCTCCAATGTTGCCGTGGGCCCCGGGGGCCCCCTGCGAACTTCCCTGCAGAGGGAGACGCAGGTCAACGACATTTCCCTGCAGGCCTCCTCCTGCCTACGTCCCCCCCCCTCTTCTATTTGCTGCCCTTGCCCCCCCCCCCCCCCAGGTGGCACACACCTACAACAAAGACAAAGGTCCCCCGTATAGCCTTAACAGGCTGTTGGGGCAAGTGCTGTTAGCAAGCACCTATGAAGGCCGGAACGGCACACGAGGGGGTGGGTGGCCAGCACCACGCCCGACCCAGTAGCGATGTTTTCACACACCGCTACCAGGTATCCATTTGAGGCTGAGTCGACCCAGGGGAGGCCCCAGGACCGATTCAGATCATCGTCAGTGGGTGTTGGCCGTGAGCGGGAATCGAACTCGAGTCGCCGGGTTCGTAGCACAGCGTGCTGTCCGCTACACTGCACATCCGCACACTCGCACGGACATCCACACACATCTGCCCTTTACTGGTGCTCGCGAACAGCACTTCCCCCAACAGTCTGTTCGAGGGGATCTTTGAATTTTAAGGAGGTGTTGAAGCAGTTTAATCGAGCAGTAGGAGCTTCTATTTTCACAATGGAGAAACCAAAATAAGTTAGCTCTCAGTTCACAAAGTTTCAACAGAGGCAGAATCGGAGGCCCCACTTCCCACTAAGCTACGAATCGAGGTAGACGTTGCTGGAGGCTCCCCAAGTCAGGAATCGTGCCCCCAATTCTAGACATTGTCCATACATCCCTTACATTCTCCAAACAAGCGTAACAATAACAATATTCTCCAACAACCACGCAAATGTGTTTTTTTTTGTGTTGTAGTGTATTATATAACGGTGTCGAACTCTGACCCTTGTCTTAAAGAGGGCCCTTGCCTGTAACATCTGGCAGTTCACCAGCAGTGGTTCACTTGGCAGTTAAGTGCTGAGACACGAAACGTCGAACTGCTCTAGTTTGCTTGTGTTGAGCCAATGCTGCTGAAATTGTTAACTTTCGTGGGAGCCAATTGGGCTGTGTTGATACAGCCGTAATTTTGTTTTTGGTATGTGCAGAGGCAGACGATGTGTGGGAGACGTTGCTCAGCTATTTTTTTATATCCAATCCATCCCGGGTTTGTCCCTTATTGTCCACACTAGGTGGCAGCACTTCCTCACGTGGACTGCGACACAACTGAAATAAAACCAAAACATCGAAATCTGAGCTGAAACTTTCGAATAACACATTCCTGCGGAGGGAGCTGGTAGGAACGTTGGGTTGCGCGGTCAGTGGCCAGGGTCAACGGCGGCACCACGTGGTGTATTCCGCAAATATGCCCGACTGAGGGCGGGTACAAGCTGGCGTGAGTAGGTTAAACGTTGAGTATTATAAGGGCACCACGGGGTGACCAGCCCCTCCCCACCCAGCCCCTCCCACCCTCCCCTCTCCACCCAGCCCTCCCATTTTTGGATGCACGACTGACACAATAATTTTCTGTGGGCTGGTGTAACCAGGAGGTTCCTACCAGTAAAACGAACTCAATGTCACAATTATTTTTCACACCGTTAATTGGTGACCCGGGTTCACGCAGTCTCACTCGCTAGACCTGAGAACCCAGTTTAATAAATTGGCGGCTGGATTCAAACCCAGGATCTCAGCGGTTGGCCAGGCCTCTGGTGCGAGTCACCCAACCACCTCGATTCACATTTCATCTACAGAACGAATGGAACACGCCCAAGAGGGCATCCACCTGTGAGATGGAGCAATGGAATGAGTTTGCACGTCGGTACCGGGTGGATCGTTGCACCGCAGGATTGCTAAAGGTGTCAGCAGCTTGGGGAGGCCTTCATCCAGCAGCGGATTGACCAGGGCTGTCCATAGGGGGGTTCAGGGCCCGGGTCAAATCCCCACCGTGGGCCCTCCGACGCTTTCAAACTAAACCAGAAGTATGACAGTGACGTCAAAGCACGGGGTCCCCCCACGGCACTGGGCCCGGAGCAGTCGGCCCGATTCACCATACCATCGGGACGGCTTCTGACCAAGGTCGAGGACGATGATGGAGCGGTGGAACAGCGGTTAGCAGCCGCAACGAAAGAGCAGTCACAACAAGAGTTGACTTCAAATCGCTTTATTTTTTTGTCCCCCATTTTCATATTTTTTATAAATAACGTATAAATTATTTAATATATATTTATCTACATATACACATCATATTTCTTTACCAAAAAAATCAAATGCAACTGTACATCGCTGAAGCAAAGGGGTTTTTGCTGCCAACCGGGCCCGTTCGCGTCCCGATTCCGTCTCGCGGGCCATCGCCGCAGCGGCGGCATCTTCGGGGGGGGCACTTCTCCCGTGGGGGGGCACCTCTCCCGTGGGGGGGCACCTCTCCCGTGGGGGGGGGGCACCCCTCTCCCGGGGCCCCCACTGCCCCCTCCTCCACCACTGCCGCTGCCCCCCTCAAGTCACGCGCTTCCAGTTTGACTATTTCCAGCGTGGCCGTACTCCGTTGGGTCTTTTGTATTTCATAAAACATGGCTTGTTCTGGTGGGAGATTTTTTTTTTACACACACAAAAGAAACGAAAGGTGAAAATAAAATAAATTTAGTTTACGCAACAAGAGAAGAGAAAGGTTACGACGACGACCAACAGCGACGACGACGACAAAACTTCCAATTTGACAAGATCCCAAAATATGAATCCATGCGGGCTGCGGACGCAAACCGGCTGCCCGAGGCCGAATCGAATAAACCGCGGAATAGCGGCGGGACCTCGCGCGTTGGCCGTGACGTGGTTTCGTCGAATTTTGTATTTTTGTCGGAACGACGTACCAGCGGCGGGAACATCAAGCGGATGCGGGCGATGCGACTCAGTCCCCCAAAGTAGTTTTTTTTTTTTGGGGGGGGGGGGGAGGGGACGACTCTGGAAGCATTCGTGAATATTTTCACGTAAAATCGTCCACACGTTGAAATAATTGGCCAATGACGACGACGACGACGGGGAGGACGTCCACCGAGAGACGGAGCGGTGCAGGTGTTAGGCGCGTTGTTACACGTCGGCATCTTGGGGAGGCCTTCATCCAGCAGTGGATTGATCAAGGCCGACAAAGATGCCAATTCATGACCAAAACCTCTTGCCTCTGTATATATCTGTGTGTACTGTATATATATACCTCAGTAGGTGCTGTGTCCCATCGACAGTGACTCAACACCTATTCCCAGCATTCATTAATTACAGCAATAACCATACCCTAAAAACACGTGCCCAATCTCATCCGATCTCAGAAGCGAAGCGGGATTTTGAGCCTGGATCGTGTTTTTCAGTGGGTGGCCACCATGCATAGCAGGTGCTATAGGCTACGTTGTGGGCGGTGCAGCAAAAAAGCATTGTACTCTACCTACGCTCCGAACGTCTACCCCCTGCCTACCTTCGCCGCCCTGCACCGACCAGCACGGTGAAGTACGGTCGAGACCCGCGCACGGCCTGTGGAGGCCACCATCCACCAGCGGGCCGACGAAAGCGTGGGCACGCGCACTTGGCAAGACGTCGGTTGTGGTCACTCGCCGGAATTCACCATCGGTCGTAAGACTCGGGGCCCGCTCCACCGACTCACGCGGACGTCGTGCGCGGTGAACCGGACGGATGTCCAATAAAACAACCGACAACGCGCACGGAGCTGAACGACAAACACACTGCCCCCCTCCCCCCCTACGATCATCTCCACAGGCCTCGGGGTGGAATGCGCCACGCGGAGTGGCCGCCACAAACGGGGTGGCCGCGGCGTTTGCCTGACGTCGCCGCCTCCCGCTGGGCACTCCCTGCCTCGGGGGAAGCGCACGGCAGCGGACGGTGCCGGGAGGAGGCCTCCGATCCGGCAGTGGACGGAGCCCAGCAGCTGTTGACGACGACGATTTGTTGAAGGGAATGGGGGGGTGGGGAGGGCAGTTCGTACGGACGCCAGCGCGGAGCGGCGAGGGTGACCACCGTATACGAAAATCAGATTTAACGTAAGTTACTAAAATCCACCTTGTCGTTTTCATCGGTGGCCGATGAAAACGAGATTCAAAGCGAGGACTCAAATCTAGCGTCGTGTAAACCCTGCAGCCACAGGAGGCGCTCGAAATCCACCGCCAAGGCCAAACACAAAAACGATTTGCGGCAAAATAAAACGAATGGAATGGCTTGGAGATTGGGGGGGGGGGGGGGGCTGTGTGCGTGAATCGTCACGGGGCCTGGGTAAACCGGTCAACCTGCACCGTGACGCAACGCTGGGAGGAACGCAGCGTTCACGTTCCTGCCTTAGTGTGCGCGACTCCAACAACAATAATTTATAAAAACAAAATAATAATAATAACAAAGCGACTGTACCGTCTCCCGCCACGAGTGCGATTTCTCGTCACGCTCAGCTTCGCGAAACCTCCACTCGCGTCCATAATGCCACTTGACACGTCGCGTGCGCAGGCACCCGCGGACCGACAGCAAACACATCGACGCAGCACTTGGGGAGCGCCGACGAGCACAAACGAATCCCATCGAAGCCAGGGGGAGGGGGGGGTGGGAGTCTTTTGTTCGTTCGTCGCAGCGGAGAGCTTTTGTGGACCGGCCGCAGCGTCCGGCGACCGGCGACCGTCGTTTCTCTGTCAGGGTTATCTTTGCGAGCGGTTTTTTTTTTATTTTGGCCCCAACTGCGATTCTAGAAAGCAACAGGGACCTGCCTGTGTGAGCGAGCGAGCGAGCGAGAGAGAGAGAAGGAGCGAGCGAGCGTGCGAGTGTGCGTTTGTGCGCGCGATTACCCAGTGTCCACGACTCGTGCCCCCCACCCACCCACCCACCGCCACCCGAATTTCTACCGGCGAAAAGGAAAAAAGTAAAAAAAAAACAATTCTGGCTCAAACGTTAGAACACACGTCGACTGCAGGAAACCGTTAGTAGCAGCTCGGGAGCGGCACACGCTCGCACAGTCGAGGCCACCGGCCCCCAAATTAAAATTAAATTAAATTCGTACAAGCATGTTGAGATTGAAATTTACACTGGAAATTAAAAAACACGATAAGTTAAACGAAGCAAAAAACGGGGCGCGCGGGGTAGAAAGGCGTCTCGGGGTTTAGTCGCAGCCGCGCGCGGCAGTCGAGCCAATGGAGAACGACGGGGGGGCGGACTCCAACTCTGCCCCGAAACCCCCTCCGGGTTGCTCTCACCCCCAGGCAGCAGGTGAAGAAGTTTGTTTCTTATTTAAACAAAAAAAATCGAGCTCGACCGACGGGAAATATGTTCGCGACAGAAGAACAGAGAAAGAAAGAAAGACACGGGCGGCCTCCCTGCAGAGCGGTGAACTCGACTCGAGGTCCCACCCGCCCCCCGTTATTGCGTCGGAGTAACACTTGCTTGCGACGTCCCATTTTCTTTTTACCCCCTGCCGCGCGAGGCTCGCCGGGAGGTGGCGCCGCCGCCGCCGACGACGGCGGCAGGAGTCGGACTGGGCGGGGGTCGTGTCGCGCCGAGTGCATCTTTGGACTTGTGTTTCGCGCGAGTCTGTAAAACCAGCCAAAAGTTCCCCACCACCGGGGCTATCTTGGATTTGCGAAATTCCCCCAAACGTGCCGTCCCCCTCCCCTGTTGCAGCAGCAGCAGGAGCAGCAGCAGCAGGAGCCACGTCGCGTCGCCGAGTTCGTGTACATTTTTTTTGGTGGAAAACGGGCGGCGATGAAGACGACCCCGGGAGCGACGGTTTGGTGGGGTGGGTGGGCCCCCGGGGTGGGTGGGCCCCCGGGGTGGGTGGGCCCCCGGGGTGGGTGGGCCCCCGGGGTGGGTGGGTGGGTCCTCGGTCAGCAGGGGGATTTCAAGCGGGGTCCCGCAGTAACTCGGCGCCGGGCAGGGCTGTCCGGGGAGCCGCTGTTTGGTGCCTGCTCCGTTCGGCGACTGCTCCGTCGGTTGCTTCGCGTTTTTAGTCGTCGTGTTTTTCCTTTCCCCGTCTGTGTCAAACGGCCATCGTCACCTCGCCTGATGACGGGAAAAGACACGTCAACAGGTGACTCAACGCGCAGTAACAATGACTCAAGGTGCAGCACAAAGAGAACGTGCGTTGCAAAAACTCAACGTGGAGTGCAGTGACCCAAACGTGGAGTACACAACTCTGCTGAGAAAACAAAAGCAAGCGATGAATGTCTTCTTCATAACACAATGAGTTGTGTTGTACAGAAGCCGCCCTCCATTCTACCGGAGGGAGGTCGACTCAGAGTTACTTTACACGCTTATAAGCAGCTTGCATCGTATCCTCAACGCGCGTTTAAAAGGGCACCCCCCCGTGGCCGCTGTCCCTGTGTGGTGCACAACCTGGCCTGCAAGCCGGCATTACTCTGCCAGTAGGCCGCGATTGCTGCTGTGCCCGTGATCCCAATGAAATCTGATCGTGGGGGGTGGGGGGGACAGGGCGGTGCGGGGGGGGGGGGGGGTCGTACGGGCCGGTGCAGGGGGCTCGGCGTGGAGGAGGGCCTCTGCCGGCCGGGAGATGCCAGGCCGGTGCTCTTGTCCTGTCAAAAGGGAAAGCACGTTCTGTAAAACCGGCACGCGTTCACGAGGCGCACGAGGACACGCGCATCAAGGCAGCGCGCTTCAAGAACACGCGACTCGGAACTTGGCGTGCATGCGTGCGCCCTCACGTGCCGCCCGACGACCGCCCTCTCGCTGCTCCTGTGGCCCCGTGCTCCGTGCGTCCTCGCGTGGACACAGTCCATGTCCACGGCCTTCGCCACCTTGTTCGCCTTCAGGGTCGGGCCCGCCGCCCGGCCCTCCACGCCACCGCCGCCTCCGCCGCCTTCGCCGCCACCTCCGCCGCCGCCGCCTCCGCCGCCGCCGCCACCGCCGCCGCCGCCACCGCCGCCGCCACCGCCGCCGCCGCCGCCGCCGCCGCCACCTTTCCCCTTCTTGCCTTCAGGCGGCTTGAAGGGCGGTGTGTGCGAGTTTGCGTGGTAGGCCGCAGAGGGCTGGTTCCGCTGCTGCTGCTGCGGCTGCTGGTGGCGGTTGTGGTGGTGGTGATGGTGATGATGGCGATGGTGCTGTTTGCTGGGGAGCGCCGGCGAACGTGCCGCCGCCGCCGCCACGGCCGTTGCCGGGGGAGTGGCGGCGTTGGCACCCGCCCTCTGCCGGTGCCCGCCGCTTCGGACGCCGGCTCCGCCGCCGCCGGCTCCGCCGCGATGGCGCGGAGACGACGCCGACGACGACGACGAGGAGGAGCATGAGGACGAAGACCCCGACGACGACGACGAAGACGAGGAGGAGGAGGACGACGACGAGAAGGAGGACGACGAGGACGGCGAGGGCGAACCGCGCCGACGCGATGGCGGCGGCGGCGGCTGCACCGCGGCCGCCGGCGCCGCGGCCGCCACCCATCCCGAGTCGGCGCCGCTCGACAGCGCTACGCAGTTCCGTTTGGGGGCGTCCGGCCCGGGGGCCGCGGCCGACGACGAGGAGGAGGAAGAGGCGGAAGACGAGGGCGCGGCGGGCGCGGCGGGCACGGCGGGCGCGGCGGGCGCGGCGGGCGCGGCGGGCGCGGCGGTGGCAACGCCGGCGGCGACGCTGCACTTTTTCTTCTTGGCGGCGCTGCCCGGGTTCGGCGGAGTCGCGTCGCGGCTCGCCGGCCGCCCCGGTCGGGGGCGGCACTTGCCGGGTTTGCGCGGCGCGGGCGAGCGGCGTGGCGCCGGAGGGGACGGAGTCGGAACGGCGCTCGCCGCGGCGACGCGTTTGCCGCAGTTGCCGGGAGACGGGGAGGGCCGGGAGGAGGACGCGGCGGCCGCGGTGCCGGCGGCGGCTGGGACCGGCATTGTGGGCGGCGAGGGCTCGCACGCCGCGGGGATTCTCCTGGATCGGGACGGGGAGAGGGGAGAGCCGTGGTGAGGACTTTTGGGGCGAGGGGCGGCGAAGAGCGGCGAGGATCGGCGCGAGGGACGGCGTGAGGGGGCGGCGGAAGGACAGCGACGGCCGGCGCTCACCTCCACATGTGCGTGCTCAGGTGGCGCTCCACCATGCAGGAGAAGGCCACGCGGAAGTGACCCCACGTGCGCGAGAACGAGTGCAGCCCGGGGGACAGCTGCCGCGCGCCAAACGTGCACACCTGGGGGGCGGGCGGTGGGAGAGGTGCAGAGTCACCACGAGGGGTGGACAGTCCTCCGATGCGGGCAGGAAACTGCCAAACAGGGAACCGGATCTTCTTTTGAACAAAAGCATGAAGGGTGTGTGGGAGCGTGGCGGCAAGGTGTGGGAAATCAGGCGGGGAGTGGTTGTGGAGGTGGCGGCTTACGGCCCCACTGAAGACGAACATCGGTGGAGGGATACAGGCAAAGCTGATGAGTCAGACGCGTGCTGCACTACAAAATTGGCGACCCTAATTCGATTCCCACTCACGGCCACCACCAGCGACGATTATCTGAACCGGTCCTGGGCCTCCCCTAAGTCGACTCAGCCTCAAATGAGTACCTTGTGCGGTGTGTAAACACCACCACTGGGGAGAGAAAGGCGGTCGGGCGTGGTGCTGGCCACCCACCCCCTCGTGCACCGTTCCGGCCTTCATAGGTTCTAATAGCGCTTGCCCCAACAGTCTGTTGAGGCTATACGGGGGAATCTTTGTCTTTGTGCATCGATACGCACGTGCGTGTGCGCCCACCACACTCACCCCCAGCGGCGCCGGGTGTCTCGCAATCACCAGTCCCTCGCTCCCGAAGTCGCCGATACCGCCGCTTGCGCCCACCCCGCCGCTCGCCCCTCCGCTCGGCTCGTCGGGGCAGCCGCCCTCGTCGCTGGACGTGTGCCACCCCGCGCCACTACCGCGGGGGCAGGGGCTGCCCCCCACCACGTAGAAGGGCGGCGGAGGGGCGGCCTCGCCACTCTCAAACGACGACGACGCCGGCGGTTGTTGTTGCTGCTGCTGCTGCTGCGGTGGCGGGGACGGCCAGGTTGAAACGCCGCCGCCGCCGCTGCCGCTGCCACCGCGAGCCGCCAGCGTTGTTACCGCATGGAGGTTACGGGTGTGGGACCTGTGGAGGCCACCGATGGGTGCGCGCACACACAGACACACACAGACACACACAGACACACACAGACACACACAGACACACACAGACACACACAGACACACACAGACACACACAGACACACACAGACACACACAGACACACACAGACACACACAGACACACACAGACACACACAGACACACACAGACACACACGTACGTGTGAGACGGCGGCTGCGGCGGACGCACAATCGCCGTTCGCCACTACGTGGCGGTGACGCCACCACGGCGCTAGCGTCAAGATGAGGTGCACTTTGAGGCCGCGTGAAGTGTCGAATGCTCCGCTGACAGGAGGTCACGGAATAGAACCAGGTGCCATGGGTTGACCGACCGAGGTGACTGGGCGATGCACCACCTGTGCTCCCCACTGTGACAACTCACTCCATTTTATCTGCCCGGCGCTCAGCTCGCTGTTCTTCTGACCTCCGCTGCTGCTGCTGCTGCTGCTGGACGGCAGCTCTTCTGACCTCTTCTGACCTCCAACTACCCAGGAGCGTCCCTCATGAGCCTCCTCAACAAAAGCTTATCTTGACACCACTGATACCAGCCTCCGGCGAGTCCGATCAGCTCCGCATCCTTCTGCACCATATCAGCTAATTTCTTCTCTCGCCCACTCTATCCAGTCAAACAGAACCTACTTGGGGGGGCATGCAGTGACTGGGAATGTGGGCTACATGACCAAGACCGTGTCTAGATCTTTCAAGGATCTTTAAGCTCCTCATATCATCCAATTTGGCTAAACCCAGCATGGACCAAAGGCAGGCTATCCTGAATGATTCAAACGGGCGCAGATGTTCCTTTTAGAGGGCTCCATATTTCTTCAAACAGAGAAGGGAGGTCACAACCGTGGCCGTAAAAGGCATTTAGCTTCGTGTGGAGCGACAGACCTGGAAGCTTTCACACAGCGTTACGCAGTTGATGAAAGGATAACGCTGCTCGACTGAATCGGAGTAAGTTATAAGCACTGCCCAGGTCGCCGGGTTCATAGCGCAGCACGCGAACCGTTACAACACTGCACCCCCACACACACTCGCGCACGCAACGCCCTCCTCGCACTCGCAAAGACAAAGATCCCCCGTGAGGCTTTCGGGGCAAGTGCTGTTAGCAGGCACCTACCGAGGCCAGCACGGCACATGAGGGAGTGTGGGTGGCCAGCAGCACCATGCCCGGCCGGCCGCCTTTGTTTCCCCAGTGCTAACACTCGCACGTGCACTCACCCACTCAAACTCACCCACTCAAACCCACCCACCCACACCCGCCCGCCCGCTCGCTCACTTCACACTCTCGCGCTCTCTGCGCACACCTCCCCTCGCGCTCGGGGAGCTGCCGCTGGTTATTTCGGCACCGTTCTCCGTGGCCCCGCTCCCCGGGGTCCCAGCTCACCGGTTTTAGCGGCGCCAGTGAGCTGGGCCGCTCGCGAGTGGCGACGGGGGGGGGGGGGGTCGCGGTGTGCCGAGCCGGGGGCCCGCGGGGACCAGGGAACCGTCACGGCAACCGCGGCGGCCGCAACGCGGCGACCGCTAGACCGCGCACGGCCGCTATGGGTGCAGCGAAGAGGCGCGCCGATCCGTGGGATAACGATGCGCCTCACCCTGGCAGCCCCTCTCACGCAGCCTGCGTGCTGACATTCTCCCAGAGTCCGCCTCTCCAATCTCCCGGAAGGGCTGTTAAAACAATGGTGCCCGTTGCTCAAATCCCCACGCCGCCTCTCTCCCCGCAGCAGTTAGTCTGTCGGCAGGCAATGCGTGGCGGGGTTCAGCGTGGGTAGTCCTTGGCTCTTGAGAAGGCATCTGTGCAGCACGGAATCGTAGGCCAGAGCTCCCTCTCGTGCAATTGCAGGGCTGCTCCTTTATCTTTTTACCCGTACACAAACACCGAACACTTACACACCTCTCACCGCGCTCTCTCAATCCTCACCACCACCACCACCACCACACCCTCACCGAACCCCGAAGCGTCACCTGGGATTGAACGAGCGGAGTTTGGCCAAAGCGTTGACTCCGTCGCCAGCGCCCGCCCAATCCTCTCCCGCCCCGTCCGCTTGCACCGTCAAAACGTCGTCCCCGCGCCACCCGGCTCCGGCGGCCGGCGCGAGCAGCGGCGGCGCCGGCGAGGGCCCGGGCGGCGCGGCGCCATGCCGGGCTCCGTCGCGGCTGTGCGAGCGCGAGCGGTGCTCCGGGGCCGGCGTCGCCGCGACGTCGGCGACGGCGCCATTGCCCTTGCGGCGCGAGTGAGTCGAGCGGCGCTGGCCCGGGGAGGAGGGGGTCTGCGCGTGGCACCGGCACGGCGGGCGGGCGAGAGGACACAAGAGCCGGGGTTAGCGGGACGAGAGAAAGAGACATCGCACAATAATACCCCCCAATCTGAGACTCCTTTCACCCCGCCATCCACGATGTCGACTCACTGCCCCTTGTTCACACACTGCCTATGATCGACTGCCTCTCATAGCGACCCATAGACCCACACAGGACCCATAGACTCACATAGAGGGAGACCTATGGCTGCCTGCCTCTCTGTTTATAGCTCATCGGATTCCCCAGTATAAATATTCCGATTCTGATAATAATAATAAATATTATAATTCTATAAGATAAACACGACCTCTGTCCTGTAGAGCGTCCGTCTCGAGGTGCGGACACATTTGGACCCTCTAGGGCGACAGGGGCGGTGCAGTGGTGACACTCGCGCTTCACAGCAAGAAGCGCCTGGGTTCAATTCCCGACTAGGGCAACCTTTCTGACTGACGTTTACACGAACATAAAACTCCACATTGTGTTTTACTGCCTCGATCTTCTGACGAGGGATCGCTAGACATCCCCAGGGCGAGACCCACACCCATCTTGGGGCTTCTTCCTTTGCTCACGCGGCTCTCACTCTGTGGACTTCCCCTCGGCGGATAACGGGAAAACGACTGACCGTCCAGAGTCTTCAAAAAAATATCTAAGTAATATCACAGAATGTATGGCTGGCAGATTTTTTGAAAGTTTTAATGGAGGATAATAATTCATGTAGAGCTGGCCGTGGTAAAGTAATTCTCTGGGAAAGCAGCAGCTCCTTTATAACGAAGTCGGCCAAGGAGGGGGGGGCACTCTTGGTCCCCATATTTTTGCACGAACATTTTTTTTACGAAAATATCTTCACAAACCATGCCAAGCCGTTCAAAAGTGTGAAGTGGCGCATTCGTTAGGGGTTGGCGCCGTCCACCTTGATGACCACCTTAAACCAAGCAGACAAAGTGAAGGCTACGATGCAGCAATGTTTTCTGTACCCCCCTCCTCCGACGTCCTGGAACGCATCCCCCCCGATGCCTCCTCTGTCGTATGTACCTCTGGTAACGACGTTTCTGCGACGTCATGGAACTAAGTGACGTCACGGAACGCATCCACAGTAAACCCTTGTTAATTCGACACGTAAGTGGCTGTGGCCTTGCCGAATTACACTAGCAACATTTTTGTTCCTGGGTCGTAAGTGTTATTTCGTAAATGCTTATGCCTAAAAAGTATAGGACATGGCTATTATTCCCCGCGAACTTTGCTTCTGTGATCGCATAACCTGCATTTGGTTATGGCGATTGCGATTCCGGTCCTGAGAGCCGACGTACAAAAATGCTAAAAACGTTCATCGACCGATTTGATCGGCAGAGCGACCGTGCAGGGCCGCGAGCCGGCGGTGCACCAAGCACTGCTGACCTTGCAGGCGAGCGAGCGCAGGCACGGCCGCCGGCCGCTCTCCACGTCCGTGCCGCCGCGGTGCCGCCCCGCGTCCGGCTCTCGCGCTGCCGCCCCCGCGGGGAGAACGCAAAACGGGGACAAAGTCAGGAACACCGAGTCGTAGCGGGGTGCGCGGCTTCTGCGTCACTCGCGCCGGGGACGCCGGCGAGGGGCCGGCCCCACGTCCGGGCGACGGCGCGGATTTGCGGACGGTCGCCACCGCTCGTGGCGCTGGCCTTGCGCGTCGACCGTCTTCGAGCTGCTGCCGCGTTTCCACGCTTTGTCAAAATCCGCAAAGCGCTCGCGTTAAATGAACTCTGGGGCTACGGCAGCAACGAGGACGACGTACATTGGTATTGTAGCCATGGTGTCGCAAACGTCTAACCCACGTACTCACCCACTCGCTCACTCACCCACTCGCTTATCCACCTCCTTACTTACCCAACTGCCCATTCACTTACCCACTCACTCACCTGACCAAGCACTCACTCACCCATTCACTAATCCACTCACTTCGTCACCCACTTACTCACACACTCACTTACCCACCCCACTCATCCATTCACTTACCCATTCAAACACTCCCGCATTCGCACCTCCGATTAGCACGGTTGGCGATGTATGGTGAGAAAGCAGTTCAACATACACACACACATTCACTGATCTATTACTAAAAACTATTTAAACTATTTTTAGTTGACCAGGTAAGGCCCACTGAGATATACAGCTCTTTTTCAAAAGCGACCTGGCCACAAATGATAGCCCGACGAAATGAATGATCAGGTGGAAATTTATAGCAGCCAAATGTTTCTAAATGTGGGAAAAACCGAAGGACCCAGAGGAAAATCCACGCGACCATGAGGAGAGAGACATGCAAACTCTAAATATAGAGGCAGGCGTCAGGGTCGGGATCAAATCCAGGACCTCCTGCATACCAGGCGAGGTAGTTAACATCGTGGACACCATGGCGCTCCACTCACCCGCCCACTCACCCGCCCACTCACCACTCACCCGCCCAATCACCACTCACCCGCCCACTCACCACTCACCCGCTCACTCACCACTCACCCACTCACTCACCACTCGCCCGCCCGCCCACCCACTCACCCACCCACCGACCCACTCAAGAGAAAGGCAACGATGAAGGGAGTCCACACGCACGGCTGCAGAGGGTAGCAGTGAGAGGCGAAGAGGGAGATGACTGCACGCACGACCGTGCTCGGGCGCCTGCATGCAAGCGCATTACCCAGCGCCGCCTTGCGGTGCGGGACGCTCCTTCCGTCCTCCCGCCTCCGGGCGATCTCCGCGGCGGGGCCCTTCCCGTTCGGGACAACCGCGGCCGCGTTGGCTCCGGCGCCGTGGTTGTGGTTGTGGTGGTTGTTGTTGTTGTGGTGGTGGTTGTGGTAGCTGTTGCTGCTGCTGCTGCTGTTGGCGACGGCTCCGGCTCGGAGCGAGGGAGACGCCGGCGGGGGGCGGCGCCGGCCACCGCCGTTGCCTCCGCCCGCTGCTTGCGGTGGCAGCAAAGGAGGAGGAAGAAGAGGAGGAGGAGGCGGAGGAGGAGGAGGAACGGGAGACCCGCAGAGCGGCGCAGGGGGAGCAGCCGATGAGGTAGCAGCGGTAGTGTTCTGCCGCACCGGCAGCGACACCGAGTTCGACGATCCCAATTTGACGGAAGACAACAACAATGACGGCGACGACGATGAAGAGGTGGCGCCGCTACCAGCAGAAAGCGAGTTCACCCTGGGGCCTTCGGGCCTGGCTTGCGTCTTTGTACCCCCACCGCCGCCACCGCCTCCGCCACCCTGTGGTTTTGATGATGATGAAGATGACGACGGCGGTGGTGGAGGTGTGGAGGGTGGCGATGACGATGATGGTGCTGGCCTGGTCGCTGGCGCCGTGGGCTGTTTGGGAGCGAGCGATGAAGAGTTCCGCACGACGGAGGAGGGGGGCGGTGGCGCAGACGGAGGCGGCGGCCTAGAGGAGGAGGTATTGGCGGAGGTGGTGGTGGAGGAGGAGGTGGTGGAGGAGGAGGAGGAGGAGGTGGTGGTGGAGGAGGAGGTGGTGGAGGAGGAGGAGGTGGTGGTGGTGGTGGTGCGCAGGGGAGTGGTGGCGCTGTCGAGTTTCTGTAGACTCACGATGGGCATGGGCGCGCTGGTGCTGCAAGGGAAAGGGGGGTTATTAATCATCGTCATCATCGCCAGCAGTGTCACCGTCATCACTGCACGCCGTGTCGTCGTCATCATCATCATCATCGGTAGCCATTGTGTGTGTCACACAGATGAGGATTGAAACGTGTGTGCGATCCCAATCCAGTCATTTGCAGGTCGTTTTTGGCCAACCCTTAACATCAGAGGTGGACTTTCCAACATCCAGACGGCGGGCAGTACGATGACCGTTACTACACAACAATGAGCAGGGCGACCACTGGAATTGAACCGCGAGCATCCGCAACAGGCGGCGGTGGGATCGCACTGCCGCTGTGCCGGGCCGCCGTGCCGTGATTCCCCGTTCCGCCCGTGACGAGCGGCGACGTCACAGCGGGGCCGGCTTACCGTCCCCGCAGCAGAGCGCGGCCGCGGACCCTCACCCCGCCAACCAACTACTACTGCCCGTGACCCCCAACCCGTGACCCAGCCTCACCACTGCTTGTCCGATGACCTGGGCGGCTGGGAGGCGCTGGCATTGCGACTTCGGTCTCCCGGCCGCACCCGTACCAGTGGCCTGCACCGCAAAACACCGCGCCACAACGAACCACTTAAACCTCCATCCCGCTTAACCGCTCCACCGCTTCCACGATGCTAACTTCGAGCGTGCCGTCGGCCGAGCCGACAGCGCCACCACCGCCATGCCCAGCTCACCGATGCTCACCGATCTCGTGCCTGGGGCAGCCATCCTACTTGCTGTACAACCCACGGACGGACAAAAGCGGGGTGGGTGAGGGGTGGTCTTACCCGGCACGGGAGGAGCGTCGCTGTTGCTCCCGCAGCTCGCGAGCCGAGCGTGAAGCGGAACCGGAAGAAGCGGCGGAGGTGGCGGAGGTGGTGGAGGTGGCGGTGGCAGCGGGGGGTGGCGGAGGCTGCGAGGCGGCCCCCGTCACCGCGTGGTCACGGTGTCGCCTCTCTGCATCGCGCGGGGGGGGCCGGGGGCGCGGGATACACATGGACGCACGGAGAGACACGCGGACACAAGGGCAGGAAAGCACGGGGACATCAGTGTCTCGTCCACGCTGGATCCGTCCTCGCGAATGGCGAATCTGTATCGATGATCCTTCAACATGCGGCGTGCGGTGCGTGCGGTGCGAGCAGGAGAGGCGTTCAGATGAGACTGAGGGCTCCGCACGCACAGCCCGGAATCGCTCGTCGCAACTCCACGTTCCACGTGGCACGGACGCGTGCTGCCATCATCCACACAAACCGCGACCACCAAGTCCACCAACCGTGCAGGGATAATACCGAACTTGCGACCTTCTACTGGCGAGCTGGAACACCGTGCGCAGGGGTACAGCGCAAAATCTATTTCTGCACCGTGCTCTGCTGCCCACAGCGTAGCCCCACAGCGTCAGCTCCCTATAGCACCAGCTATGCATCGTGGTTTCTCATCCAAGCACTATCCAGGCTCAACTCTGCTTAGCTTCAGAGCATTGATGAGATTTGGCGTGTTCCAGGTGACTTGTTTCACAGCCCTGGTGGCAGTATTCCTGTCATCAACATAATTACTAAAGATCACGATATGCTTGGTGGTGACAGAGACGCTGTCTTTTTATAAGCCTTTGTGTCTCCATGTCTCCGTCTCCCTTTGTCCCCGTGTCTGTATCTCCCCGTCTGTCTCTCTCAGCGTTACCGTCTCTGCATCTTGACACACACACACGCACGCACACACAAATAACCGACAAAAACAAAGATTACCCCATATGCCCATTAACAGACTGTTGGGTCAAGTGCTGCTAACGAGCACCTATGAAGGCAGGCATGGCACACGAGGGGGTGGGTGGGCAGCACCACGCCCGGCCACCTTTGTCTCCCCACTGGCGATGTTTACACACCGCACCAGGTAATCATTTGAGGCTGAGTCGACCTAGGGGAGGCCCAGGACCGGTTCAGATAATCGTTACCGGTGTTGGCCGTGAGCGGGAATCGAACTCGGGTCGCCGGGTTCGTAGCGCAGCGTAGCGCTAACCCGCTACACTACCGCTCCCCACCACAGCCCGACACAAATACACAGGCACTTGCTCGTGCACACGCACGCGCACAAAAACAGAGGGGCACGCGCGCTCACTCTCACGTGCAAGCGCACACACCCACAGAGATAGATACATAAATCTGATAAAACACACACATGCACACGCACGCACGCACACACACGCTCCCGCATGCATGCACGCACTCCTGCACACACCGTCGCCCGCACGGTGTGCAGCAATGGAAGGGTGCTCGCACGCGGAGGAGCTCAGGGCTGAAAGAAACCACGCTGGAATTGCTTCCCAGCGATCGTCATGGAAACAAATTAGCGTGCGTGTCTGACTGTGTGTGCTTGGGCGCGTGTGCGCTTTTGACTGCGTGCGTACACGACTGCGTGCGTACACGTGTCTTAAGACTGTGTGCGTGTGTGTACGTGGTGTGAGGGAGACAAAGGCGGCCAGGCGTGGTGCTGGCCTGCCCACCCCCTCGTGTGCAATGCCGGCCCTTAGCAGGTGCTCGCTTACAGCGCTTGCTCCACAAGTCTGTTCAGGCTATACGTGGGATCTTTGTACGCATCTTTGTTGTGTGTGGCTGCACGTGCGTATGTGTGACTGTGTGTCAAGATAGGCCTCTATGGAGGACGCTCCTGGGCAGTTGGGAGGCAGTCGTCCTCCAACAACAACGGAGGGCGGAGGAGCGACGCTCATGACAACCAGCGGTGCGCCGGACGGTTAAACCGCGAGTTGGCACAGTTGGTGCATCTACCAGTCATCTCAGTCAACCAACGGCACCGGGGTCTGTTTGACACTTCGCGTGGCCTAAAAGTGCACCTAGCCCAGCAGAACTGTGGTGACTTGACCACCACTTAGTGGCGAATGGCGGTTGTTGTTGCTCTTGTGTGACTGCGTGAGTTTTGTGTTTGTGTGTGACTGTGTGCGTCACTGTGTGTGAATGCATGTGTGCGTGTGCACGAATAGTGCAGTGGTAAAAGCGCACTATGTTACGCACCCAGCGACCTAAGTTCAATGTGTGCTCAGGGCTAATCATGGATCTGCTCTCGGTCAGTAATCAAAAGAGACAAAGGTGGCCGAGCGTGGTGCTGGTCATACCACATCCTGGCCTTCAAAGGTGCTCACTAACAGCACTTGCCTTAGCAGCCTGCGTAGGCTACACGGGGGATCCTTGTCTCTTGTGTGCAGGATTGGACAAGCACGTCCGTGCGTGCGTAACTCCGTACGTGTGACTACGTGCGCGGGGCTGCGTGCGACAGCGTGCGTGACGGATGATTTCTGCCGTGTGTTTGTGAATGATGATTGTGCGCGCTCCCAGCTGCCTGGGTCATCCGAAAGCAGCGACCTTCATTCAAGGTCATATTAAACATACAAAGACCCCCGTTGTAGCCTTACGAACCGTTGGGGCAAGTGCTGTTAGCGAGCAGCACCTATGAACGGCGGCACGGCACACGAGGGGGTGGGTGGCCAGCACCACGCCCGGCCGCCTTTGTCTCCCCAGTGGCGATGTTTACACATCGCACACACAGAGACCGCATCTGCAGCGGCCATACACCCTGTCGGGAAGTTGGTGTTTGCGAGCACCTATTAAGGTCGGCACGGCGCACCTATGCAGGGATTGTGTGGTCGGCATCACACCCGGCCGCCTTTGTCTCCCCAGTGTACCAGAGTCGACCAAGGGGAGACGCGGAACAATCTCAGATATCACTCGCCACTGATGGTGGCCGTGCACGGGTATCGAACGCGGGTTGCTGGGTCGCAGTGCAGTGTGCTAACCACTGTGACACCGCTCCCCAAACCAGACACACACACATACTACAACAGCAGTGACAGTTGTGCCAGGCTAGGTGCACTCGGACACCACCGTGTGAAGTGCCTTGTAGGAAGAAGGTCATGGGACAGGCCCATGTGTTGGAGGTTGACCCTCAACCGTGTGCCTTGACAGCACGTTATGCATGTAATCTCTCGGCAAGTAATCCCCAAAGATGCAAACGCTAGAGATAAAATCAGGAGAAGCGAGATACAAGTCGACTGATATGAACGTATGATAATGCAAGTGTGTGATCCGGCGCTGTGGAGGCAAGGGTTGGTGGATCACACGGAGATTTGTTAAATTCCCAAACCAGCCGGGGCTGCGAAGTGGCCAACAGATGACGGCACACCAAGTGGGTTGGTGCACCCATCCGTGTGGCGACTTCAATGTCACCTCTTCGTATCACACATGATGGGGTTCTCTCCGGGTTTTCCGGTTTCACGTGCACACACAAAGACAAAGATCCTCCTATAGCCTGAACAGACTGTTGGGGCAAGTGCTGTTAGCGAGCACCTATGAAGGCCGGAACGGTGCACGCCCGGCCGCCTTTGTCTCCCCAGTGGCGACGTTTACACACCGCACCAGGTACTCATTTGAGGCTGAGTCGACCTAAGGGAGGCCCAAATCCGGTTCAAATAATCGTCACTGGTGTTAGCCGTGAGCGGGAATCGAACCCGGGTCACCAGGTTCGTAGCGCGGCGCGCTAACCACTACACTACTGCACACACGGACAACAAAAACAGCCGGCATCCACCATGAAGTGGCGGTGACATCACCACAGCGCTTGTACCAGACGAGGTGCACTTTAAGGCCATGTGAAGTGTCAAAGGTTCGCTGGCAGGAGGTCTTGGGACAGATCCAGGTGCCATGAACTAAATGACTAAGATGACTGGCAGACGCACCACCTGTTCCCCCACTGTGCCAACTTGTTGCATTTTAGCTGCCCAGCACTTCGCTCATTGTCGTGAGCGTCGCTCCTCTGCCCTGCGTTGTTGTTGGAAGGCGACTGCCTCCAACTGCCCAGCAGCAGCGACCTTCACGAGCCTCCTCCAGAGGCCGATTTTGACACCGCTGGTACCAGTCTTCGGTGGATCTCTACTCAACTCCATATCCTCCTGTGTACCACATCAGCCCACATCTTCTCTAGCCTGTGCCGTGCCCGTTCAGCTCCCTCGATCTGGTGAAACAGAAGATTCTTTGGGCATGCGGTGGCTGTGCAAGCGGGCGACATGATCCAGCCTCGCCTGCCGGAGGAGCTCACACGGACACGCGCACGCACACACACAGCAACGCACACAAAAAAGGCAAAGCACACAACATAGACACACACGGAATGCGCACACACACAGACACACATGGACACACAGTGTGTGTACTTGTATGTGTCTATATGTACACATATGTATGCGTACGTATTTGCGGCTATGTGTATGGGGAGCGGTGGGGCGGCACAGAGGCTAGTGCGCTGTGCTACAAATCCGGCGACCCAATTTCGATTCCCACTCACGGCCAACACCAGTGACAATTATCTGAAGCGGTACTGAGCCTCCCCTAAGAGAACTCAAATGTGTACCTGGGGAGACAAAGACGGCCTAGCGTGGTGCTGGCCACCCACCCCCTCGTGTGCTGCGCCGGCTTTCATAGGTGCTCGCTAACAGCACTTGCCCCAACAGTCTGCTTAGGCTATACGGAGGATCTTTGCCTTTTGTCTTGTATATGGGTATGGGGACCGGTAGCCCAGAGGTTTAGTGCACTGCACTACGAACCCGGCGACCTAAGTCTGATCTCTGCTCACGGCCAACATCGGTGACTAATATCTGAACCAGTCCTGGGCCTCCCCTAGGCTTTATATTTGTACGTGGTGCGGTATGTAAACATCAGTGCTGGTGAGACAAAGCCGCCTGGCGTGGCACTGGCCATCCATGTTGGCTTTCATAGAAGCTCACGCACAGCAGACCCCCCAACATTCTCTAACGACTATATAGGGGATTTTGGTCTTTGTTTGTGTACGTGCAGCAGCGTGCATGTGTGCATATCTGCGAGAGAGCGTGCAGCCTGCGTGTGTGCATGTGTAAGCGTGTGCGATGTGCGCGTGTGTGCGTATGTGCGTGTGTGTAT